CCTATGTACAACAGAACGAACACTGCCCGGTCCTGCACCGTCCTCACATCCATTGTTGCAGCCACTGTGTCAGTCCATTTCCTTGAGGGTCTTCCTCTTTTTCACTGACCTTCTACTTTACCAAGTGTGATGCCCTTCTCCAGGGACTGGTCCCTCCTGATAACATGTCCAAAGTATGTGAGACGAAGTCTCACCATCCTCGCTTTCCAAGGAACATTCTGGCTGTACTTCTTCCAAGACAGACTAGTTCATTCTTCTGGCAGTCCACAGTATATTCAATATTATTTACCAACACCTAATTCAAAGGCATCAATTCTTCTTCGGTCTTCCTTATTCATTGTGCAGCTTTCGCGTGCATATGAGGTGGCTTGGATCAGACTTACCTTATCCTCAGAGTGACATATTAGTTACAGTTATTTTAAAATACCTGTCTGATAACTCTATAACTCAATATCTGGATCTTCTGTGATCTGTTTCTATTTGTCCTTTTTTTTTATTTTCAGTCTTGATTTTTATTATTTGGGCTTATTTCCTGGTGTATCTGGTAATTTTTTATTGAATGTCAGACATTGTGAATAAAAAATTTGGAGGTAATTTTAGGCTGTACATCAGCACTGGCAAATAAAAATATATGTGAATCATATATTTAATTATTAATTTTTCTGTTAGACACATTAAAAAAGTACAAATAAGCAGGCAAATGAATTTTAATAAACTATTTCATTTAACCTAATGTGTACAAAATATTATCATTCCAACATGTAACCAATATAAAAAAGATATTAATGAGGTATTTTACATTCTTTTTTTGTACTAAGTCTTTAACATCTAATGAGTATTTTACACTTACAAAACATCTCAGTTCAGACAAAGTCACAATTCAAGTGCTTAGTAACCACATGTACCGAGTGGCTGGTGGCTACCATCTTGGATAGCACAGCTCTAGGTGATGTTACATTTCTCTAGGGAGGGTTTACTTTTGTTTCCAGTAAGCCATTAGGCTTGGGACAGGTCACCTTAGGGCAATCAAGAAATGAGCAGATTAGAGTCTTTTCAAGATTTAGTTTATTTTCTATTTGTTCTTAATCCTAAGTGTACCCTTAACAGGTAACAGCCAAAAGTAAGGGGTCTTCACCAGGGATCTTCTAACCTGCCAGACTCTAAATTCTGATGTTTGACTCCTTGGTCCCTGAGGCTGCTGAACGTTCTGCTTAGCTTCTGAGCCTCTCAGCTGCCACTTGTAAATTCATGACTGCCTCAGTAGGTGCCCCAAACAGGCTCACTTCTCTGTGCTTCCTTGTTTTTAGGATTTCGGTCCTCAAGTCCTGGCCTCTTTGGTAACTCTCTTATGCCTTAAAATAATTTACAGACACACACTCACACTTTTTTTTTTTTCTTTCTTTAATGCAGCTTTTCTGATTGTTCTCAATAGGATGGTTGATTGGATACAAGCCATTTTGCCATAGCCAGAAGTGGAAGTAGAAAAGCATCTTCTTAATTAACTGAAACCAGATTGGTTTTTCCTGTTTGGCAATGAATGCTGTTTCAGCCTTTGAAAGAAGATGTATTTCTTTCCCTCTGATTCAGCATACCAAAACCCCTGGGGAATAAGACTATTTCCCCAGTTCTAAGGACTGGCAAAATAAGGCATAATGAGATTATGCCTAGTAAGCATCAGGGCCAAGATTCAAACCCAGTCTATCTTTGTTCGCAGCCCAAGGGCTTCCCACTGCACATTCCTCCCAGTGCGGAGGTGGTAGGGGGGTTTGCTGACCTGGTGTGGTTAGTAGATCTTGAGCATCCCAGCGTGGAGGCCCTCCATGTGGGAACACAGGGAAATAGCAGAGGTGGTTGCTACTTTGGGCAACCTTAGAGTTCACAGACAGCAGGGGCACACTCAGAGGACTCTCATTCCTTAACCCAGCTTTTATTGAGGTATTGCTTTAAGCCAGATCCTGTACTAGGCTGAGAGCAAGAGGTAGTGTGATGCCATTCACAGCCCTACAGTTGAGGAGCGCCCATTCCTGGGGTACATCTTGTATTGATGCGAGTCAGGTACCAGGGCTCTATCAGGGAGCCTTGTGGCTTTAGTTCCAGCTTAGTCTAGCTCAGTTATCTATCAATCAGCTGCTGAGACCTACTCAAACTTGCTGTGGTTGTCTGGTTTCATCAGGTTGGTTCTGACTCATAGCGACCCTAGGTACAACAGAACGAAACACTGCCTGGTCCTGCACCATGCTCACAATTGTTGTTATGCTTGAGCCCATTGTTGCAGCTACTGTGTCAGTCCATCTCGTTGAGGGTCTTCCTCTTTTTCACTGACCCTCTACTTTACCAAGCTTGATGTCTTTCTCCAGGGACTAGTCCCTCCTGATAACTTGTATTTTAAGCACACGATATTTAAATAAATAATGTTACGTGCTAGAGAGCCAAAATCTTTGACATTAACAGGATTTTTGCTCTGTAGCCATAAAAATCTAAGTTAATGGCAACTTACTTTTAATTTGCTACTTTTAGCTCAATATATTTTTCTTTTTGAAAAGAAATTCACTTAATTGTGTTTTCTTGATATAAAAATTAATTTTACTTTTTTTCTTTTCTGATTATTAAAAACATTGGCAAAGAAACTTGCAGCCATTTCTGACTACATGAAGACCACCACTGTTCTGGGTTATTTCCTTTTGGGTTTGTTTTCCTGTGCCTATCTTTTATGTATTTGTAATCCCACCATAAATATGATTTTGTATGTAATGTGTGTGTATCACATAATGTGAGATTTTTCTCATGTTATTAAAAAGTCTTTATACATAAATTTATGGCGATAATAAAATATCCTGTTTGTGACTATTGTTGAATAATTAGGTTGTTTCCAATTTGTTGCTGTTGTTGTTGTTAGGTGCTGTCGAGTTGATTCCAACTCATAGCGACCCTCTGTACAACAGAAAAGCACAGCCTGCTTCTGTGCCATCCTCACAATCTTGTTATGCTTGAGCCCATTGTTGCAGCCACTGTGTCGATCCATCTTGTTGAGGGTCTTCCTCTTTTCCACTGACCCTCTACTTTACCAAGTATGATGCCCTCCAATTTTTTACTATTATAAATGTAATGCAGGGAATGTCTTTGAACTTGAAGATAGCTGCCCTCAGTTCTCCATACCTCATACTTTAGGTTATTTTTCCAGAACGGATTATCAGAAATGGAGCTACTGCATCAAAGAGATGGAATATCGATATTCTCCTTCACTGAAATTTAAACTTTGAATTTATCCTTCAGGTGGGCAGTCACTTCCCACCTATAGTACCAGGCAGGAATTGGGCAGCTTCTCTTGGCTAAGACCCAACACTTGCCTGAAGGTTGCAAGACCCTGGAGAGCCACCAGAGAAGTGGATCCAGTCTGTGAAGGTGTTTTAGAGCAGGGCTGTGAATGGAAAGGACCTCACCACCGAAGGCTGAGCTTGCATTACCATCCAGAGGAAGGCGAATATGGTACAAGTGCTGACACACTCGCAGGAAAACTTTGTTAGAAGGAAGGAAAAAAAAAAGTTTGGTGGAGTACCTCACTGTCTGCCATTACTGTATTGATGGAGAATGTTGCTGATATGGTGTGTATATCGAATTTTGGCAAGTGAATCCTATTTTAGATGCACTGTGAGCTGAATCCTATTTTAGATTGACTCACGTAAGGATCCCCTCGGTGACTCTGTAAATCAGACAGTTCGTTTGCAATGCAAATTGTCCTTTCCTAAGTAATCCTCAAACTCCTTAATTTTACAAGTTCAGATTTTTGTAGATTTGTTTTTGCTAAGTACATTTGGAGGACACATGGGGTCCCTTTCTGCCATGGAGTTTGGGGGTCTTGGTGGAAAAAAGTCCTTCTATTCAATCCTCCCCTGAGGGCTGACAGCCTGTCTTCTACCTCTGGCCAACAGGTGAGGGCATTTGCCGTCTAGGTGAAGTCCCAAGGATGGAGCCACTGCTAGGATCAGAAACTAGGAGGAGAGAAGAGGAGCCTGAAATGTGTTGGGTGGTTAGACGGTCAGGGCAAATGGAGAAAACTCAAAGCACCAGAGCCTTGAGCTCCAGTTACAGAACAGACAGCTGGGCGACCCTCGGTGAGGCTGAAATTTCAGAAGGAATCTTTGATCATCAGAACTGCCTCCTTAGGGTCCTCCAACCCATTTAACAGATTAGATCCTGCTGAGAAAGGAGAGAACTTTGTGCTGCAAAATATTCGAGCCAGGTTTGAGAAGATGATGCAAAGTGCTTTGTCCAAGGGTGAGATGGATGAGTAGGTAAATGCCATCTCTGAGTCTTTGTGTGGTAGATCACATATCAGCTAGACCTGAGCCTCTTTGTCTTGAGCACCTATGTGAAAGGGGCTGGGGTGAAGGCCTGTGACTCCCAATAGCCTCAATCCAAAAAATTTAAATTCACAGCATTGGGTTTTTCCTTTATCCTTTTATGTTAACACCAAAAAGTCATGGAGCTGGGTCTTAGAAAGTCAACAAAGCACAAAAGTCACGTCTTAAATCGCAACCATGTTTAAAGTATTTATAATGGCTGATCTGATTTCATAAATAAAACTGGCTTTGTACTGGGGAGCATGATGATTTCCCAAGTTTTGGGGGGCTCCATGGTTGAGAATGCTTTTTCTCCTGCTGGGTTCACAAATCTAACCTTTCAACAGAGATTGTGTCCTTGGAAGCTGAAAACTCTGCTAAAATATCACTGAACTTTGCAAGTTACTGTACTTTCTGGGGGATCTCCCAAACTTCTATACCTAATCGGAAGGTGTCAAAGTTGGAGAAACTTGACTTTGAGGTGATTTGGAAGAAGTTGCTTGAGCCTGGGTCTCTGCGGGGTCTTGCTGAGGATGCACATGAGTATCTGTGATTATTTCACAGTCAAGTTGTCCTTACCTTTTATACCATTTATACAGTAGTTAATTTGCATCGATTTCTTCGTTTTACATATAGTAACTAATTTTGTCTTACTGACAGACGATTCTCAATGACTGATTGCAAGAGGTATTCCAGACAGGTACTTTTTAACCCTTTGTTTTCCTTCATAAAAGCCTTATTCTACTCTGAGTTGCTGGCAGTGACAGCACCAGAATTTCTGGAAGGATGGGAAGCTTTGAAGAAAAACAGATGTGGAGGTGGGAGGCGAATTTCCACTTAGAGTCTATGTTTTTTGGGGGTCGCTTTAGGGTGGAAGATGGGGACTGTGCAGGGCTGAAAGCTCCCCGAAATGAACTCCTTGTGCCCTTTAAAGCCGGCTCCCTTACTGGATGCTGTCTTAGGCCAGGCTAGCGTAGGCTCTTGGGTAATGGAAAGGTTTGCTTTGATTTAGAAGACAAAGTAGAAACTCCCTCATTCGATCTGAATGAACAATTGAAAGGAGGTGATCTAATGGAGCAAATTTAAAGACAAGTATTTTTTTTGGTCTTTGTTACATGACTTTTTCCTTAAAATAAACAAGTGTGTCAAAGTCATCCACGTGGTGATGGGAGCTGCAGGAAGGGACATATACAGCGGCACTGGGGCCTCAGGTACCAGAGTGAGCCCTGCATTTTACCTTTATCTGGACAAAGGTGCGTGTCCTCTTCAGTTACCTCTGTGAAATATCGGGAGAGGGGTCTTGCTGCCGGGCCCAGCGGGGTGCATTCTGATGTGCTATGCTCGCTGGCCCCACTTCCTTTTTCCTTCTTTCACCCCTATTTTGCAGTCTCTGGGTATTCGTTTATAACTATTGGATTTAACAGATGTACATCTTCAGGGTTAAAGAAAATTTTTTAAAAGAGAGAATACAATGAACATTTCTTTTTAAATGTGAGTTTTGAGTGAGGGTTTTGGCCTCTTTGCGCTGCAAGAGATGACCGTTTACGGCGATATTCCCTTCTTGTTAATGAAGAAGACACGGATCCTTCATTTTGCAACTTTTCATCTTAAATGACCTTTTAAATATGGATGCTAGCCAAGTCACATTTTAATATTAATGAATGATGTAAAGGGTAAATGAGGTTCAGATTATTCTACTATTCCTAGTTCGAGCCTCCTCTCCGTTTGCTCGTCGGAACTCTGTAAGCCGGGAGAGGATTTTAGAGCTGGCCACATAGCTGAGACTTGGATGTCCGTGGCTGTGTCCGCTTAGATAACGTGACCACCTACTGCAGAGAACTTCCCCTAAATACACACGTGACATCCTCGGTGTCATTGCTCTGGCCCTAACCATCACTCGTGTGCTCTCAAGAGTGAAGAAGTGTTGGTTTGGTGAGTACAAGTCTGCATTTTTGGAGAGCTCCTCATACCTTCTCCCAGCCTGGCCGTCCCCTGGGTCAACGTTAGGTGGACGCCCTGACCACAGCAGGTCCCAGATCCGATCACCATCTTCTTCAGGCTCCTGAGTTTGTCTGCAGTTCTGACCCTGTGTGCCAGCTGGACCCCTTCGGGGATTTTCGCCATTATCACCCTGTGTCCCTCACTATTTGTTAGAGGAGGTATTCAGATCTGGTCTAACGTGCAGTAACAAAGGTCTTTTTGTGTCTCCCTGGTCCTCTGCCCCTCTGCCTCTCCTCCTTGCGTTCCTGTGGCATCTATTCTTACCGTAATGTGACCAAGGGCACCCCCCCGCTTTTTCTGATGTGCCTCCCAATATTTCCTGGTGGGAGATAGTGTATTCGCCTGCCTTTCGCACCTGTCATTTCCACTTATGCGTTGTGGAGCAGTCTCCGGGGCTATGTGTGCCATGTTCATGAGTGTGTGGACACACATCTATGAGCACCCACGTGCGAAGGCGTGTTTATAAAGGTGTGCGTGTGTCCACGTGAGGTAAGGACACACGCATGTTTGTAAGGTGTCACGGTGTGTTTATGAGCGTTCCTATGTGATGTGTGAATCTGTGAGTGTGGGTGTGTGCACGCTTGTGTGGGAAAGTGTCAGTGTGCGTGTGTGAATGTACGTTTGTGCCGTCAGTGGGTGCTGCTGTTGAGCTTGTGCTGCTCCGATCACAGACCTTTGGCCCCGTGTGATCAGGGTCTCTATCTTTCTTTGTAGTAATTATTCAGATAGCAATTACTGAGCGCTCCTCCCTTTTGGTCACAAATGACTTCACTGCATTTTTGAAACAGTCACTCGTTCTTCACATTCCAATAAATCCTCCCAAATTTATTGTCCTTGTGGCATTAACTGGCACCTGCCCTCTGATATTGCCCCTGTAGGAGAATTTCATCCCATTTGGGTACATTTTCTTTGCAAGGCTACTGATGCACTGTGTTTAAAAAAATTAATTAAACAAAATTCAGGTCTCAGAAAATTCCAGCAGTCAGCCTCCTCACTCTATCCTAATCTCTCCGTGGTAATGCTCACAAGTACCCTGCGTCCAGACAATTCTTCATTCATCCTCCGCCCCCACCACACTCCCCGCCCCCCCACTCCCCACCGCTGGAGATTAGTCTTTTGTGAGGCAGTGCATCGAAAGCTTTCTTAAAGTCCCAGTAGATTACACCCCTGGTTTCCCTCTCCAATTCCTTTTTGTTACTTTTTCAAAATATTCTATTAGTTTTGTTACGTATGATCTCCCTTTTGTGAATCCATGCTGAATATCTTTAATTAAATCATAACTTTCCCTATTTTGTCCCTGATTAGTGTTTTCAATATCTCCCCCACTGCTCAAGTCGAGCTTACTGGTGTTTAATTCCCTTGATCTCCCTCAGAGTCGTTATTAAATATAGGTGTTGTGTAAGGGCCCTCGTCCACCAGTGGTGGTTCTTTGCTTTCCCAGGATATTTTGAAAAAGGTATTTGCACATCCTTCCCTGTTTCCTTGGCTCCTCTTGCAAAAATTCTAAGATGGTTCCCATCTGCTCCTGGAGTTTTCAGTCTTCAGACACTCTAATTCCTTCCTCACCTGTTCTGCCGTGATGCTGAGCTCCCTCGGAAATACTTCCCTCTCCTAGGGAAAGGCTTGTCTGCTACTGATATCTGCTCTTAGCTTCCCTTTATGGACACCAAGGCAAATAGTTTATGTTTCATTTTCTTTAGCAGTTGTCACCTCTTATTCCAATAAACCCTGCTCTGTGCTTCCTTACATTTCAAGTAAAAAGCATTTTAAACCCAGTCCAACACCACCTTGCCGAGTCCTAAATTCAGGAGTCAGTCTTTCCTTTCTGAGGGATGGGTAGCATCACCAACTTTCAATCCAGGGCGGGCGTGCTGACCCTTCGGTAGTGAGGGGGGTTTGCACGCCATCAGCTGTTCCAGTCCGGGCCTCCCTGAGAAGCAGCACTAGAGGAACTTGGATCCCGCTGTGCTTTTTAGGGAGTTGTAAAGTTTCCCATGTGTCATTTTAACCATCTTTCATCTGAAAGTAGCTTCCGCTTGGAAAGTCTCCTTCACTGTCATTCCGGGCACTGTTGCTGGATTTCCGGGTGTGTGATGGGTTTATATCTCTCCCCCTGTGGTGCTTTGCCTTCAGGCTGTAATGCGGGCTCATCCCCATGGAATTTACTTCCTTTTAGGTTGCTGTTCCCGGGACACAGACTAAAGGGCCATCCCTGGAAGTGCACACCACTGGCTTTGGATGCTCATACCCTACCAGCAGGTACCCCATCAAGGGGGTGGGCCAGAGGGAGGGGTCCATGCCACGGCCCCGAGCCACCCCACCACATGCACATGGAAGCCTCCTCAGACGTACTCTCCCCTCAGCTTGACCTCATTTCCTTTTCCAGAACACACAGCCCAGATCCTCGTGCTGAAACACACCTCTCCGGTTGTAAATTCCACACCAAATCAAAAGGCCAAATCCTGCCCGTCAACCCACGGGTCGCTCGACCTACATACCACCAAGAGCCTGGTGCTGAGGCTGTCGCAGGGCCTGTCAGCCGGCAGCAGAGGGTCGAGGTCCAGCCT